CTCTTCCTCCAGTGAGTCAGTGTTCTGGTGTGAATCAGGAGAGAAATCTGCAGATCAAGCAGCGTTTAAACAGCTCTAAACCGTCTAAGACTTTAAGTCTTTTGTCTTCTCCAGATGTTAACTGATGGACTGGAGTGCTGTGGATTATTGTGATGTTTTTATCAGCTGTTTGGACTCTCATTCTGACGGCACCCATTCACTGCAGAGCATCCATTGCTGAGACACTGATGCAGTGCTACATTTCTACAAACCTGATGAAGACACACACTCATCCTGATCTGGGATGAGCACATTTTCATTTTATCCCTTTAATAAATGAATATGATGTAATTTCTTTAAGTAATATCCTAAATCTAGAAGCAAATATCATCATAATGTAAAATCTTTTAAATGATTATTACTGTAAAAGTGCACTGAAGTGAGTTTGGTTCTGTTCTGCTGATTGATTACCCAGTGAGGTGATGGTCTGCAGGTGCGCTCTGGGAAAGTGCAGCTCGTCACCGCAGCTCTGCTGTTTCTCGGAGTCTGCTGAAGGTCTCATGCTGCTTAGAGCCACTTCTTCATGGATCTCAGACACCCTGTGGCCGTTCAGCTGAACACCTAGAGGAAACACACACACACTCGTCGCAAACATCTCTAAATAACATGTGAAAACAGAACAAGTATTAGACATGACAAGGTTGACAAGCACTACATGTAAGAGACCGAGTGATCCGTCAGCTGATGCTGAACACCTCAAACAGGCAGAGAGCAGCTGATTGATTAGTCTGATATTAATCATGGGACAGGAGGGTACAACGGGGCTAAAGGCGCCTTTGATATGATTTTCCTCTAAACCACTAGACGGCACAAAACCGTGGCGTAGCACTTTCCAAAACATCCGCTTTTCAAGATGCACCTGTATATTTGTCTGACGCATCGCAAAGTTGATTCTGTGCTTACTTGATCTAATATTTGATGTTATTTAAAATGTTGTAGATTTAAGTAGCAAGTGAGAATCGCTAAAATTAATGCATATATTTTGAGACAAAGGTCTTCTTTAGATAATTAGAGCAACAGTTTTTAAATAACGAAAGAATATGTAAAAGTATGGTATTTGGTGTAAAAAGCGCCCCTGCTGTTGGGGCTAAAGGCACACAGTAATTAACATGATAATTAACAGATGGCTGATTTTTCCATTTGTTTACATGGTTCGATTCAGATGTAAATATCATATATTATGTTGGGTGTCCATATTAGAGATAATCACCATGTTTAGAATGAAACCATCATATTTAAGAACGTGATATTAATCATATCATATAATACAATTTCATTTGTTGTTACTACTATAAATATATATTCAATTATTATTGGATCTCCCTCAATGCTTTCAGAATCTTTACTTTTTAAAATGATTTTGTTTCTGTATTTTAAAATGTATTTTTATATGAACGTATTTTAATGACAGTGTATTTAATGAACAAAACAATAATTCTTTTATTTTTCAAAATAAGCAGAAAATAGTACAAACTTTGCTAAAGTGATGGTTTTGAACAAGACATTATTAAAAAAACATTATTTTAGCTGAAGTATTTGTATCAATACTGTGTGCCACCGCATACATTTATAAGATTTTTAATGATATTAATCATATCATATAATACAATTTCATTTGTTGTTACTACTGTAAATATATATTCAATTATTATTGGATCTCCCTCAATGCTTTCAGAATCTTTACTTTTTAAAATGATTTTGTTTCTGTATTTTAAAATGTATTTTTATATGAACGTATTTTAATGACAGTGTATTTAATGAACAAAACAATAATTCTTTTATTTTTCAAAATAAGCAGAAAATAGTACAAACTTTGCTAAAGTGATGGTTTTGAACAAGACATTATTAAAAAAACATTATTTTAGCTGAAGTATTTGTATCAATACTGTGTGCCACCGCATACATTTATAAGATTTTTAAACAAAATAAACAACTTGTATGATTTATTTTCACACAAAATCTGTGGCTCCATTAATGTTCAATACAAACGTACATATGTTTTCTGCAATTATACATTTTAGCACATTTGTTCTTAAGGTGTGCTTTAGCCCCGTTGTACTCTACCGTTCAGACACTCCGTCTCGGGCTCTCCTCCGGCGCGGTTCTTCTGCAGCCGTTTGCTCTTGCGTCTCTGTTTGCAGTAGAACATCAGTCCCAGCACAGCGATGATGTACGCCACGGCCACGGCCACCGACAGCGCGATCGTCTGGAACATCTTAAACTGACTCTTATCCTCGTCTTCACTGCGCGGGTGCACAGGCTTCTCTGAGAACAGAGACAGAACACATCAGTCTGACACAGCACAGCAAAATCACTGCAGGCCATTCAGTAAACTGTTACACATTGCTATTCATCAAAATAAACTGTTCAGAACTAGAAGTTTACAGTGTAACTGTAGCTTTTTACAGTTGCTAGGCAACAATGTAACACACTGATAACCAATGTGTGTCACTGAAGAGTGTAACAGAGTTTATAAGCACTTCAAAGGCATTTGATCCGTTCAAAACATCAGTGTAACATCACACTGAACTTCATTTAAACCACCTAAACCTCTTAAACACTGACCTAAATCCTTCAGAAGTTTTATGTTGAAATATCTGAATAAGTAATAAAATCTTAAAGATGATAATCTAATAGTCTTGTTTTATGAGAAATTGATTCAAATGAAGTGAGTTTATGATTAAAACAAAGAACAAATATCTCTGATAGATATTTGAACTGAAAATAAAATTTAAAAAACTGAGGATGAAATTCATTTTATGCAGTCTATGCAACATTTAATCCCAGCTTTATGAATGTAAGACTTTCTGGTCTAATTTAAGACATTCTACGGCCTTCATTTGTGGAAGGACGAATTAAGATTTTATTACCCTTTTAAGACCCACAGAAACCCTGTGTATTGGATAAAGCACTATAAAAATAAAAGTGAAATATGAAATGAAATAACACACTCGCTCTATGATCTGTGTGTGTACATGAACACATTGACTTGTCAAACTAAAATCTGCTTTACTTTTTAAAAAACACAACAATCAGGTTAAAATGTTCCTCACCCACGACATAGAGCTGCGCTGCCGTGTCTCTGATGTTGCAGGTGTTTCCTGCGATGCAGGTGTACACGCCCGTGTCCTCAGTGGTCACGTTACTAATGACCAGAGAGCCGTTGGGCATCTTCTGGAACCTGGAGAAACACAATCAACACACCTCAGCATCTGAGGCATGAAGGATCCTCATGTATGTAAGAGACAGACAGGTGCAGTGAGACAGACAGACAAACAGACAGGTGCAATGAGAAACAGATGCAGTGAGACAGATGTGGTGAGACAGGCAGGTGCAATGAGAAACAGATGCAGGGAGACAGACAGGTGCAGTGAGACAGGTGCGGTGAGACAGGCAGATGCAGTGAGACAGGCAGGGGCAGAGAGACAGGCGGGGAGAGACAGGGAGGGGGAGAGAGACAGG